CGTACCCGAGGAAAGGTTTCCTCTGCAGGTACTCTTCAGCCTTTCCTGAATTCTGCATCAGTGTTCTAGGGCAGCTTTTACATTTGTTTAGGAACATTTATTTTTGTTTTAATTCTATAACCCAGTAATCTCCAGTCTCCTACCCCTGTCACACAAAACTTCCTGTGCCATTACTTATTTAGAACACACCAAGTGAAACTCCCTCTTTAGGTGTAAAAGTCTGTCTCTGTGGCCATTTCCCTGAACTCTGTGCTTCCCAGTGACTGGGAATAAACCAAAGAAACAGAGTCATTGCATTCCAGGTGCAAGAGAAGAACCAGGGCATTGCATTGCAGGGCACAGGGTGGGTTGTTTGAGGTGCTGGAGGAGGAGGAGTCGTCTCTTCCTTTTGTACCTCCTGCACTGCTAGGTAGGAGGAGGCCCAAAAGTGTGACATCCAGATGTGTCACCAGGACCAGGGCCAGAAACTCATCCACTGCCAGCACCAGGTTGTGTTTCCCATGAGATACAATCTGCATAAACCAATAAAGCTCTGCAAAGCAAAGCAAACTTTGCTTTGTACTCTATCCCGGTGGTGCCTTGCTAAGTCAACTCCACAACTGGCAAACATCTTCTTGCAAGATCTCAGACCTTTCCCTCCCACTTTTTTTGCAATCAAACCTTATTATCGAAACCAGGACAACAGGGAAAACTGTGCTGGTGAGCAGCCTGAAGCAGAACTAAATGGGAAAGAGCCAGAGGAGTATTCTTTCCAGCTACCAGAGCTCAGCTGCTTTTTGCCTTACTCATTCTCAGCATAAGTACTCATCTGTGGTCTTCCTGTTTCCCATTCCACAGCACGATTAATGTCTAAACAAAACACCCTTTGTGCTGCCTCCAGTGACATGCTGACTTCCCTTAAATCCATTTGCAGGGTCACCATCCCTTCTGGCACCAAATCCCCACCTTCACTTTCAAGCTTCTCATGTCACGACACTCTCCCACCTCCCTTCTCTGGTTTGCCTTGACTTCTTTCACTCAGACCCTGTCTGTTCTTCAGTGATTCTCCTCACAGTGCTTTCACACCTGTAATTATTTGCCCAACCATTTTTCTCTTTTACTCACCAAAACAAGGACCCCCACAACCACCTAGGATGCAGTAGCTTACAGTGATGAGCAAATGATTGAGGGCTACATGATAATGAAGGAGGAAGACAACACAAAGAATGGGAAGGTATAAATGGGAAATAAATACTGAGACAGAGTATTGGGATTGAGCAATAACTACACATCATGAACAGAACCAGGGAGGAGGTGAGCTTCAGAGTAGGAGGAGGTAGCAGATGATGAAAGAATAGATACTCATTCAGAACCAGATACTTAATTCAGCAAAATTCATCTCCTTTCATATGAATGGATTTGAGGTTACTTATAGGGTCAAAAACATTGTCAGCAACCTGCGCCAGCTTTTTCCTGGTGATACTATGACTCTTTAAAACAGTTTTTCAACACTCCCCATAAAAAAGGGAATGGCATCCTTTTTTTTTTCCTGAAGAAATGCCCTATTTGGGGTGAAAGAAATAAAAGGACAGTGAGCTGACAGTTTAGGATCTAATTCTCACGACGAGCTATCTTCTGTTTTTCCTGTACATGTTTCTACATACATTTAGGACTGGGGCCCGCTGGTGTGAAGTTTTTCCTAGAAGAGCATTCATTGTGACTCTTGCAACACTCAAACACTACCCCAGGCACCTTCTCTCTGCCTCACTCACTTGATGAGAGAGAAAATCCACTGGCTTATTTTAAGATCATGGCTCAGAAAAGTGTTCTCACCACATTTTTAATGTATAACTCAGAAGGATGTTAGCACTGTATGTTTTTTAATCTCTAAGTTAATAATGCACAAAATTGTATTAAAAGACCATTACATTGGAAAGCACGGTGAGGTTAGGAAATGTTGGATTGAAGTTGCCTGCACATCCTGACTGCTGAACTGCATCATGTCACAGGCTTTAGCTACACAACTGCACACTCACCCTCTGAACTTCTACACAACATTTCTTTGTCTTTGCTGTTTCCTGAACACTACTCAGGTCCTGTGCTGAACACAGAATTATACATTTCACAGAGGTTTTTTTCATGGCATCACCTTGAGACCTTATAACAGCTGATTTGTCAGTGAGCACTGGAGGGGGAAGGGTGGTGTCACCCCCACGTCACAGATGTGGGATTGAGACAGGAGGGTTAAAGGTGTGCACAAAGCAGAGAAGGCTGGCACTAGGATTTGCAAAATCAGGAGAACACCACAGACCTCAACGATCCAAAGAAGTTGTGTGGCTTTAGGTATACCTTTGAGCATTTAGCATTCCTGAAAATCATTTTCCACATGGAGAAAAAGCAGAACATACAATACATCAATTACCATATCATAAATCTCTGCTGCATCCACGTCTAGTATAAAGTCTGATGCTTTTCCTCCTCTGTGGGAAATGAGAACAGGCATGTGAAGTGACATTCATTTTTGCAAGTGCATTTTGCAAATATTTATTATGCAGAGTGGATTGGTGAGATGATGTCCTCACCTCAAGCCAAATTTCACAAGGAAATGTATTTAGTGGTCACAGACCCTTAACTCCAAGCTCTGCTCCACTGCAGCCAGATTTCTCCTGCTGTTATGTTTGTCCTGTTATCATCCAGAAACCTTCTTTGCTGTACTTCATCCCTGTGTTTCCCTGTAGGCTCCTTATCCCAAATGCTCCCTCTTTTTGACCCCACATTCTCCTCTGCCTGTTCCAGCCCACTGGTGCCCACTTTGTTTCAGCTCCCACTGCTCTGCTGTCTGCTCTTCCTGGCCTCTTTGCTCAGCCAACCCTCAAATACTTGGTCTACAGCTCACAGGCCCAGTTTTAAGCCCTGTGAATTTCTCATTGGGCTTCTTCTGCAGTCCAGCATAGCTTCTGCACAGTGGCTTAGTCCTTCTACATCCAGATTTGAGAAAAAAAGAGTTTCCCTCATTCCAGTTTCCACTCCTAAATCTCGTGCCACAGAAGCTCTTGAAAAGATATGAAGTCTGGGGGATTTATGAGGTGTAGAGTATTTCAAGATAAACTCAAGAAAACCTGATCATAAGCAGTAGTTCCAGATTAACCTCTTCTGGTCTCAGCCTTAACCTGTCCACCCTGTCATTAAAGCCTGAATACGTCCCTTTACTGAAGTTGAAAAAAAAAAAAAAAAAAAAAAAAAAAAAAAAAAAAAAAAAAAAAAAAAAAAAAAAAATAAAATAAAAAAAAAAAGCTTAGATGATAACTGCTACTATGAAAAGGAGTATACCACAAAAAAGAAAAGTACCCCAATGAATTACAGAGTATAAAAAGCTTTAGTATAAGCATGAGGCTCAGCCTGCAGATTTGCTGATCCTTTTCATGAACCTTTCAGTAATTTAGTGGTGGACTTGGCTGATGGTTGGACTCAGTGATCTTAGAGGCCTTTTCCAACCTAAATGATTTTATTATTTTATGATTATGTCACTAACATGATATTTGGCAAATACAGTAAGAAAAAACTGGCTTCTCAATGAAATTAATCATGACTAGATCAACAAGCAGCATCCCAGCCCTCAATTCAAATTATTTTTTCACCCTTGTGCTGAATATGGTAAGTTACAGAGCAGAGTCCTATGGCTGGCTAACAAAAAGGCAAGAAGGAAGTAGATGTGCTTCAAGAAAACCCTGTGAACATCCTAGGCTCACAGCTGTCTCAGCTCCTGTCGGGACCCCAGCCTGGTTCAGGGGTTCCGTGTGGTGGAAAAACTTCTCCTCCAGCCCGTGCTTCCAAAGAAAGGCTCAGCAGTCTCTGTTGTTCAGTCCCAAGGCAGTTTATTGCAAATTATCTAAAGGATTGTCTTCTGGGGCTGCTGTGGTTTGCTCACAGCTCAGGCAGAGGCACACACACACCCTGACATCCTCTCTGACCCCGACTGCTTCTTCTCTCCCCGCCCAGGGCTGCTGCTCTCTTTTATATGGGACATTATGTGTGACATGGTTACAGTTTTTCCCAATGCCTATTACCTATATTAAATGGTGCTTTTCTATCTTTTATATGGTACATTATGTGTTACATGGTTACAGTTTTTCCCCAATGCCTATTACCTATATTAAATGGTGCTTTTCTATCTTTTATATGGTACATTATGTGTTACATGGTTACAGTTTTCCCCAATGCCTATTACCTATATTAAATGGTGCTTTTTTACTCTAAACCAATCTGTGAGTGCCAACATCACCAAGAACATGGAGGTGAGGAAGAAGAAAGAGGAGGAACAGGATCAGCCTACATTCCTCCATCTTAAAACCTCTGACCCCCATGTACAAAGTAAAAACCCTCCTGTACAGGTGTTAAAACCCCCTTGTACAGCAGTAAAAAATTCTTCCCTCTACTTTGTAACTACTTCTACTATAATATCTAAACTTTTGTGACTTCTTGTTCTACCTGAAAAGTTGATAACTCATTCCATGGCTCAAACTCAAAATCACAGCTGTTTCCAGCTGCCTGTCAGGGTCTCAAATGCTTCTGACCTGAGCCCGGAACATCCAAAAATGTCTGAGGGACATTTTGAGTTCCAACAAGCTCCCATCCTGCTTGGCCCTCCCTGCACAAGCACGGGATGATGGCAAGATGGATCCTTGCACCACTTGCACTGGGCAGCAGTGGAAAATATTTGGGTATTTTGGGAAATACCCAAAAGCAGGCTCCATTCCCTGCCTTCCCTGCTTTTCCCTGTTCCACTAGATGGCAGTTCCCCATCTCCAAACGGGGCTCTCGGTACCTGTTGCCCCTGCCAAGCCAGCAGAGCTGGGGCACATCTGCCTCTGCTGCCCTGGCTCCTGGGGGGCTGTCCAGCTGAAGGGCAACAGCTCTGCACCCCTGCTTGATAACAGGGAATTTCCACAGCCTGCTGAACGCCTCACCGCCTCGCCCAGCCCTGCTGGGCAGGAGAGGTCCCCCCGCCACGCCTTACTCACCCAGAATTTGACGAGGAAGAAAGCGTTCTGAGGCCCCTTCCCAAAAAGCTCCTTCAGCCCGCCCTTCTTTTCGGGAAATTTGTCGTAAATCTGACGAATGTCCACCGACTCGAGCAAGGGGTCGCTGTAAGAATGGTTGGCGTGTCCGATGTGCACGAAGAGGTGTTTGTTGTACTGCGAGGGAGAAAGAGGAGAGTCAGCGCTGTGGGGGAAGAGCAGAGGGCTGCTGCAGCAGGGGCTGTGCTCTGATGGATTCAATGACTCGCACGTCACTCCTGGGACCGGGATTTGCTGCGGCGTGGTTTCCACAAACAGCTTCGCCGATTGTGTCACGCACCTTGTGAACAAGGGTCAGCATCGAAAAAAACCACCTGTGTCCCCGTTGCAAACCCCAAAGCACAGGGCTCTGCAAGGGGGCAATTTACACTGCACGGCCCAGTGGCAGCATGGTGATAAAGAGCCCTTCACTGAGCATAAAAAGATGGATGTGCTCAGGAGGAAAGGCTATTTTTGCTCCTTTGAACAGTGCGTTTTAATGTTCTCTGTCCTCAGAGCCTGAATTTCTGCTCGTGCTGCAGAGCCCACTCATGCACGCTGCCTGCTTGTCTACTAAAAAGCCCCAAACCTCTCTCTGCAGCACATCTCAACTAAAAGACATGGAGGGCATTTCCTTTTAACTGCAGGATGACAGTAATTACTCTGCACTGCTGTTCCTATAGACATTGTCCTCCTGTATTTCGACCCATGTAATATTAAAGAGCCCAACTTTCCCCCTTCCCTTGGGAGCCAGCTCTGTAGATGACCATTCCTGCCAAAATATATGCAGCTTCAACTTCCTATTTCTTAACTTCATCCCATCACACCTCATTGTAATCACAGCAATCACCTTGGCAGTGCTTCTCCTGCCTGGGGGAAATCCTTGGCCCAGTGAAGTCCACTACAAAGGAGTCCAACATGATCTTTTAGGGGGTTGCCATTCCTCCAAGAGAACCTTTCAGCACCCAAAACAAAACTGGAAGGATGAACATGAAAAGACCCTCCACCAGTCAATCAGCACCTCCCAGAGGGCAGAGTGAAGGAGCTCCAGAGTGGCAGGATTAAACACTGGGGGTTTTCACCACGCAGATCACAAAACATTTTGCTAGCTCAGTCACGGGAAAGCTGATATGCAGTCAATGAACACTAGAGAACCCTGTCACATTGAACAGATGCTGTACATAAGGGGCAATTCCCAAAAGCTAGGTACAAATAAAATATTTAAAACCCCAAAGCAAACCTCATTTAAGCTATTTTGTTTACAATGTACCTGCTGAATGAACAAATTGAAGTGACAAATCTAAATGAATTGGGCAACCACTCAGAGCCTTCCTTTGGTGTGAGCAGAGTCTTCCCTAGCAGATGTCCAGAACTCTAGGGAAAAGGAAATGGACTGGCTGGATTTCTGCACTTAGGAAATGAAATTGAAATCTATTAAAAAATCACCTAGCACACTGAAATCTGAGTTTAGAACCAGAGAACACTTATCTGGGTATGGGGCCAAAAACAAGATACAGCCTGTGTTTTTTTGCCAGGTTGTATTTATTTCTAAATTTTTTGGAAAAAAAAAAAAGGAAAATGTAGCATCTCATTAAGGCATTTTCACAAGCAAAAAAAAAAAATATGGGGGATTGTTTCCTCTCGGTCTTCACTGCTGGAGTTGTTTCAGGTTATATAAATAACCACATTTTTATGGAAACAGAACTGAGGGCTCAGATTCTCCTGTAAATTGTCCTCCTCCCCAAAAGGGTGTCTCTCTCCCAGCCCAAAGATGGCTGGGGAGGGAAGGGAGGAAGGGAACTGTATTTTACAGTTTGGCTGCTGCAAACTCCCAAGACAATTCACACACTGCACCTTATTCTGCAAGCCAGGCAAATATACAAATTGCTCAGGATCCAAACTTCAGTAAAAGCAAATACATTTATAGGGGCATGGAGCATGAAGTCTTAATACTCTTTAAATATAAAAGCAGAGTTGGAGGCAGCTGCAAAGCTACCACAGTTGTCTGCAGAGCTCGCCAAAGCACCAGATGCTGCTGCAGCAAAATTTCTGAGCGGGTACAGTAGGACAGATGGTATGACATCACCTGACAACATTCTTAGGACAGAAATGTTTATTTTGATATTGCAATGTGTGATTATTTTCTCCTTATGTTGCTGCAATTCCTATGCTAAGTACAATCATTACTAAGCTAATTAGACATGGCATATTTCTGTGAACTAACAAATGATAATGCAATACTGGAGCAGGGTAAATGGGTCCTGAAATGATCCCCATCGTTTTTAGACAAACACGCTCCATGACAGCAACTGATGCGTAGATAAAGGAAAAGGAGCAAAGTTTTCTGCCTATACTTTTGAACCCATTAGTGTCTGAAAAGCTTAAAAACATCCTCATTATATTGAGAATTCACTGTTGATTTGGACTGAGTATTCCAGAGTCATTGAAGTACATTAGTTGCTGAGGAATTTACTCATGCCGAAGCATTTAAAGGATTTGCATCTGGCATAGGGGCAATAATGTGCTTTAGATGCCATAAACCATCAGAAGCCAAGTCCTGTATTTTCCAAGTACACAAGTACACAAAAATAGGAAGAACATTTTCAGCTCTGTCTCCTGTGTCTGCATTACACGACATGCCCTGGAGATGGCCGCCTCTTAAAGCTCCTTCCCTTAGAAAAATTCCAACTATCCAAAGAATGCAGTAAAGCCATGAAATATGACTGTTGTCAAATAATACCACGAGAAAAATTATAATCCACTTAGGAATTTAAAAGAACCAAGACAAATTGGCAATGCCAGGGGATGTAAGCATTTAAGCTGGTACAGAACAAAGACAAACCACCTATATCTGCTTTATCAGCCAGCACACATATTTGTAAAAGCTGCTCACCAGTTCTGCCCTTATATTCTGACACAACCATACAGATCAGTACATGGTGGGGGAGGATGGCTCCCCATGCACAGGGTGATGGAGATGCTAAGCAAGGTGGAAGGCAGGTGGCATGAGAGGGGGCAGCTGTTTCTGTGGGAATGACCTTGCTGATGGGCACAGCACCCCGAGTGCAAGGGTGCTGCGCTCTCCTGCTGCACCCAAGGGCACAGCTGTGATTTCACCCTCCCCAGTCCCACTGGCAGGGCTGGGAGTCACCTGCCCGAGCAGGGACCACGCTCCTGGGGGGAACAGGAGCCAGGTGGGGAGGGCTGCCTGGAACCCAGGCACTGGTGTACCAGCAGTCTGTGTGCAGCTCCAACCAAACCCTGCCCAGCCTCAGCTCTGCCGCCTTGCTGTATCTCATAAATCTGAAACTCTTTAATTTCCTGCTGATGTAAAAAAATCACTTGGTCTGCCAACAAGTTTTCTTGTTTCTACCAAAACACTAGTAACTGAATATTTAATTCCTGCTGCTGTTGTCCTCCACTGAAGCAGATTTGGAGTTATAAACATGACATTTATAACTGGAGTCTGTACCAAGTCCTGTTGTTAAGGTTTTTAACACATTCCTGTGAAATATTAACTGAATTTTCTGTGATGTAAGCTAGCATACAGCTGCATGGGCAACCTGGTCTTTCATGGACCTCCCTGCATTTAGACTCCTGCCTGGATCTGCTCAGGGATTGAATCAGAAATGTGAAGTAAAAGGGGGTTTTGGGTGACTTTATGATTGCAGAAGTGGAGAGGTGGGTGATGAGGGAAGGCAGTTCCCTGACACCTTAATGTCCAGCACTTCCCAGCTACTGCCACAGCAGTCCCAGCGTGAAACTGAGACTCACTGGTTGTGCAAAGTGCTTACACAACATTTCCATCAGCTTTTCTGCAACAATGAAGATGCATCTTTCAGTTCTGGCCTGTCTGATTTAAGACCCTGCAGTCCCAGTTCTAGAAGTGCTGAGTGCTCAGATGGGAAAATTATCCTTGACTATAGGAAGCTCTCAATAATGTTAAGTATTCTGCAAAATCAAGCTCATGACAAATCAAAGGGGACCCTCAAAATCAGTGGCCCATTCATTCTTTTGCACCTGAACTTCTTGGTTTGTCAATTGTGAGTAATAATGCTCCTTCATCCAAAAAGACTGCACTAGCACATCTGTGAAATGCAAATGGAGGGAATTATTAATTCCTTTGGAAGGGAGGTTAGACAGTGCACAGTGAGCAGGGCACGGGGCCACGCATTTCAACAGCAGAAGAAAACAAACTACTGAATAGCTGCTTATCAAAGAAGGGCCATCTACATCTCCACTGAATGTGGCAGAGGAAAAAAAGAACACGTGAGCATGCCATTATCTGCTCTCTGCAGAGCAGAGCAGGGGATATTTCCCAACTTCTGAGAGCCTGGCCCTGCAGCCGGGCCCAGCGGTTTTGGGGTGGGTGTAGGGGTGGGGGAAGCTGTTGGACGAGTTGGGGAGATGCAGGGCAGAGGCAGAGGCAGAGGCAGAGGCAGCTGCAAAGCCCTTGGGGCGAGGCAGGACAGGAGCTTGGAGAAGGCAGAGTGGGGAATTCACAGACAAAGCCCACCACGGCCACCACCCACCCCGCTCTAGTGCCAACCCAACCCAGGTGTGCCCGGCACTTCCAATTTTGCTCTGGAAGGAAATTTCCCTGGCAGCGGGTTTGAGGAAAAGAAGAGTGGTCCATGAAGGCAGCAGTGAGAGCACAGCCAGGTCCCAGCAGGCTTTCCAGCCATGGGCTGACTTTGGGGGATGAATGGTGCTGGGCTCCCAACACACCCCAGCACGTTCTGGCCCCAGGAGCCTCTCTGGAAAGTCCCTGTCCTGCTACAGCTGGGCTGGGGAAGCTGGCCTGGCATTCCCATCGTGTCTCCATGGGGTCCCCCAGGAATCCTAATGGATGGGAAGTTTGCTGCAATGCCACAGTTTCACAGCTGGAGCCTGTGTCAATACTGGAGCTCTTTAAAGTCCTTTCTTGGGACTTCTAACTACGGGCACTCGAACATTTCACAGAGATGAACATTTGCATCCCAGGGCCAACAAGCAGCTCTCCAGCACAGCAAAATAAATGAGCCTTGTGTTTAGCAAAACTTTTTCTGATCAAAATGACCTCAAATCCTGAGTCTGCAGCTCTGAGACATTCATCCTAATGTGCGTTTGCTTTCTTGTACTTTCACATCACAGACACCAAACCAAGGGCTTCCTTGTGAGTGAGATGCTGGACTGCTTTTTATACTGTTTGCAGGGAGTACAGAAAGGATAAACGATCCTTGCAACAATGGATATTGTTCAAGGATGGAGGGCTTCTTTTGAACATATCTCATTTATTTTTCATCACTTAGGTGGTTTGATTAACTTTGGTGAATTTTACTGCATTTGGCTAATGATGGCAGGCTGCTTTTATGGCCCTTGAGCAATTGCTTTCCCTTTCTGGTTCTCAGGCACAATTCTCCCCGGGCTCACAAAGTCTTTTTACAACAACAATAAAACCTGAATTAAAACATAAAGAATGTTTTATTTCTTCACCACTTTTTAAAATACATTTTGAAATTTGGACCTAACACAATCTGACAGTTTGGATGGGTGGACTAATACTGAAAATGTCCATCAGCCATGTTCTTTATAGCCCTATATAGATATTTTAAATGTAAAGCTGTCTGAAATGATCACAATTTAAATAAATGTGACAGTAAGAGCAAGAAACCTCAAAAAGGAAAAGAGAAGAAAGGGCTTTTTTTGATAGGGATTTTTTTCTCTGATTGAAAATCAAGCTTGAGTGTATGTATATATACATATATATAAGTGATTTTGAATTATTCTCATTTCAGTTATAGTCTTTGAATTTTATATCTCCTTGTGTAGCAGTCAGTTGCTTAGATCTTTTCTAACCTGCTTGCATGCTCAGTTTATATTTGTTAGGGAACATGGGATTGCTTGGTTTAAGCATTTGTCCTGAACTTTCACAGAACCACTACAATAAAAATGGAAAGCCCCATTAAGGAAAACCTGTCTTGGAAGCAGCAGATGGGCACAAAAACTGCTCCATCTGCTGAGAACAGAGTAATGCAGGGCAGGAAAAAAATCTAAGGTAACTGAAATGATGCTGCTTGGACCTGCAAGGGAAACTTCTATGCACCATTTAGGAATTGCACTTAAGCACAAAATGCCACAAAAAGAAAATACAGCTTGACATTTGTAAGCTGATTTTCATGTGAAAGGAGGAGCAACTTTACTCATCCTCAGCTGCAGTCAGTGCTCCAATATTTTGCAACTGTGCCATCTTGTGTTCCCCAGATTATCTTCTGCCATGCAGAGTTACAGTGAGAGCTGATTATTGTTTCCTTTCTATATTTTTCTCTTTTGTAAATGGAACAATTTTGTGTCTAAACAAGGAAAAATATCAACAGCTGTCCACAAGTGAGAGGACTCTATGACTGAGCTGATTTCCCACCCTCCAGAATGCCCACTCTAAACTAAACTATTAAACTGCATGGCACTAAGCTTTTTTTTTTTTTTTTAAACTTTTTTTTTTTTTTTAAACTTTTAAACACCAATTGCCATTGGAAGAGCCACACACAGAAATGCTGAAGGCCTCACTCCTACCAGGAATTCCCTGTGGGCTGTGGGTGGACTTTTGTACCCATGCACAGCCCCACTGCTGGCCGTGGGAGTCACCATGGCTGACAAACCTAAATTTCTAATTTCTGGACAGGAATAGGGACTGCAAGGGGTCTGCCAGGATCAAGTCCTGTCCCCAGATTCCATGCCAAATACACAGTTTTCAGTAAACTTCCAGGTTAACTTTTAAGGTGGAATTGGTCTGTTGCCTCTACTATTATGAGGCTTTCTGGCCTGATTTTGTATTGGGAGAAAGAGGAGGAAGGGTCACATTTTTTTAATTAAATGTTGGAAGCACATTTGACGAAGACACTGATTTTACGTAATTTGTGAAAAGTCAGCGATATAATGAATTGATAACTCTCCTTTATCAGAAGATAGAGGAGAACTCCTACACGTTTCCTGTAGCAGCACATAAATACATTCATTTCTAAGGTCAGCAAAGGCACAGAGGGGATGCTGCCATCACAGCACGTGCCTACACGACTTCATGTGCACATTGTGGAAACGCGCTCACGTCACCTGCCTCGCCGATTTCATGTGAAAATAATAAAATCCCATTCTTTCTCTGCTGTGCAAACTGCACATAAAACAGCCACACAAAGAAAGGTGTGCAAAGCTGCAGGCAGAATTCCCATTTTCTGCAATGGCACTACAGGAGGGCTTGCCCTCACCTCCAAGAGAACTCTTGGTGCTTGTTGGAGAGGTCTGAGCATTGTAGACAGGGCAAGCTGGCAGGAGGCACAGAGCTGCCCCTGCACACCAGTGCCTCTCCAGCAAGCATCCTTTGCCTGGGGAACTGGCCACACTACATTGGGGTTTTTTTCCAATGCCTTTTCAATGCCAAATAATCAAATTTACTTAATTCAATGTCAGCAACACTTCTCTGTTGCACTACGACACAAAATAGCTTACACACCCATACTAAGATTTAAAGAGTAAAAGGAAGCAAAAGGAGGGAACTTTATCTCTGATCTCACAATATATATAATTCTAAAAGTGGCAGTGGATTGGAGGATGAAATTCCTACTTCTCCAATTACATTGGTCAAGCTAACAGTCTATTAATTCTCTCCTCTTACAAAGAAGAATGCAAAACAATCATTATTTACATGAACGTGCGTGAGAAACTCTAGGAGGAATATGTAAACATCAGAAGGCATAGAAAACTTTTGAAAGTCCTTTAAAACTTTTAAAAGAACAGGGAGACACTTCTCCTTCTCCTGACTCCCCTCTCCCAGGCAGTGATGCTCACTCAGTGCTACAAGTCTCATCCTTTGGATCCCCTGTCTAGATGCTGCAGGCTGTCCCCATGCAGAGCACTGTCCCACTTGGATGCAAGAATGAACTAAATGGGGAATTGACTTTTCCTAGAGTCTCATTTTTGCAGTTTTACAGCACACAAGTAAATGATTTTTTAAAACAAGTCTAGATAGTCTGGTGCTTTTGCTTGTCCTGTATGCCCTCCTGCATAAATGCATTTGAAAGGTGGGTTTCTCAGCAGTCTTCTTGCAAGCTGGGACAAGACCCAGTGGGCCCCTGCACCCTCAGGAATTTCAAATAATATTGGTTTACTCCAAAGAAGGGTTTACAGTACTTGTGAGGCCATCCTGGGTAACTATGCTTCCATTCACACCTCCACCCTCCCTCTGAAGTGCCAAAGGTACCCAACTGCTCAGTTCCTATTTGCTCCCTTTTACATAAAAACCCACAAATACAGAGGCACTATTAGCCTAGGGGTTTTGTATATAGATATATATTATAAATTATATCATTATTATATATTATGTATATATCATCTTAGCCCAGGGGCTTTGTATATCGATTTATATTATAAAATCCTCTGGCAAAAGGATAATTAGGTGGCAAAACAGCCAATGAGACTGCACAGAAGTAAGATTTCATTCACACACAGACAGCAAGGCTGAGAATCACGTTGGCCACGTGCTGTTTTCCCAGTAACCTGGAGCACACACACACACATCCAGGTATGGGGCAGGCTGGGCATGGCAGAGCCCATAAATCAGCAGGACATGATCAATGGGGTCAGAAAGGGCTGGGAAATCTTGGATACGGGTGACTGATGGGGAAACCTTGATGTTGTACCCCAGCAGCAGAAATCCAAATTGCTGTCTAGATAGAGGGACTCAGGAGTGGGGATGGAGGAGACGTTCCAGAGTGGTCTGGAGGACTCTGAGGTGAAGGCCACCAGAGCCAGGATTGCCATGAGACCATGGGAAGACAAAGGGATTCCAGGGAAAGCAGGAATGCCTGACAGGTAAGCGCTGAGAGAGCCGTACCTGCTGCCAAACATTTCCTGCACCTCAAAGCTCATTCAGCTTGGCAAAGCTGGCGTTTATCTGCCACGTGTTTGGTGTATGAACAGCTGAGATATGGTGCATTTTCACATTTCTGCCAGGAGCATTCCTCTGTTGTAAGGTTTCTGGGCTATGTCTCCAATCCCCACTGTGCAGGGTAAACACTCCTCGGATAACACCCCTGGCCAGAGCCCATAAATGCTATGGTTTCCAGTGCTGGATTATAAAAAGAAAATGATAGCTTCTCTCTTATCCAGGCTACTGTATTTTACCAGGAATCTGAACAAGAATGGCCTGTCCATATCACCCATTCAGGACAGTATTTGTTTTTCAGAAATTATCTCGAAAAAAAATTCTCAGGCTCAAGCTGAAAGAAGTTCTTTCAATCTATTTGCGATGCAGCAGAATCAGTGCTAGGCTACCTAGCTCTTGGTAAATATTTGGTGATTAATGTCAAGGTTCAAGGCTTACTGGGGTAATGAAACTTTACAGCCAACTTCAGAAACTACCCTTGCAGGTATACTACGCAGACTAAAAATTAAAAGAAAATTTAAAACTTCATTTAAAAAAATCCAATATGCAATATGCACACTTTCTGGGCAAGTCCTTAATTTTGTTTTGGTTAGGAAACAGATTAGGCTTTAACTTAGAGTTCAAGCACTGAATTCTTGCCAAGAACACAATGCAATTTGGTACACCTGCTAAACTAGGTCAGCAGTGAGACAGGAGCCAGAGCAAACCCTGCCTGCTTTCACAGAGGCCTCTCGCTGCTGCAAATTGGGAAAAGGAGAGCAAGAAAGGAAAATACAGTCCTGGGGTGAAAGGAATATTTCACAGAGCAGCAGTGAAAACAGAGACACCGGGTGTATCCCACCATACATGATGGAAGGCATGCCCAGAGGGTGGGGAGCAAAGGAGAAAAGCTGAAGATCAGGAGTAAAGGAGCAAAGCTGAGGATCAGTGGACACAAGGGCAATAAATACTTACTGATTCAGGATCCCTCTGCTGCTCAAGGAAAGCTGAAAACTCCACCAGCCTGAGCTTGGTCGTACCAATCGATCGGCCCTGCCACGCAGGGACGGAGGGAGCTGGAGCTGATGTGGGCTCAAAGCCTGAAACACAGGAAATATCTTCATGAGGAAGCTGACACTTCCTCAGTTTATATTTTCTCAATTAAAAATAATTGGGAATTATGCATGTAGCCCTTGGATATTTATATTAATTTTAGCAAGTAATTAATTCAGGATGAGTTAAAATTGGAAAAACTCAGGCCAATATGTAGAAAAAGAGGTGGCAGCCCAGCAATCTAATAATGGTAGAAAGAAAAGATCTACTACTTTGTTTCCTTGGGGCTGTAACTCACTGTATAATTTTTGTTTAAATGATATACTAGATTACAGAGATTTAAAGAGACTTCACCTGTACCTACAGCTGCACCCTTCCTTGGAAACTGGCATCAAGATTCACAGGAGACATTACTGCCTTGGGAGTCAAAGAACTGACTCCATTTCTGGCTCCTTAAGTGCCACATGTTACAGGTAAATCACCCCACTTTTTGCCTGTTTCTGCTGCCACTCTCAGTTCCCCTCTCATATTTAGAGTACAAGCTTTCCAAGGCAGGGACTGTCTCTTACTACGTATTTGCACATTGGGTCTTGACTTCTTTTGGAGCTTTTAGGCATCATTATGATACAGCTAATAAAAAATAATTACTGTAGAGAGCTGAATCATACCCTAAAAAGAAAAGAAAAAAAAAAAAAAGGTTTTAAATTGATAATAAAGAGAGAATGACATGATCTAGATAGAGAAGGGATGCTAACGACCCTCTCTAATTCACCTCAAGAGAAGGAATAAATGCTCTCTCGGTCCTCATTGTAGAAAATTGGACGAGAAGGAAAGAAAACTGCAAAGGAAGAGGAAAAGGCAGCAGCTCACAGGCAAAATTCATCCAGGGAGAGACACTGGCACAAGAAAGGCAGGGGAGAGGCACCAAAGGTATAAAAATAAAGATTATCCTGAACTAGGCTGAGAAACAAGGACAGGTCAGAGGCAATGTATGTCCATATCCCATAATGGGGATGTGGTACCTGACCCCAGCACTCAAATTTAGGCAATGAAGGTGTGAAGCTTGTGCAAAACAGGGAATTACAAACGTCGCTGGCTAGACATGAACAGGAATTCTAATGAAGCAAAAGCTCACGCACAAGTTTTGTCTGATTTAGAAATACTAACATTCCTATTCTGAAAGAAAACACGGAAGGATAAAAGAAGGTGATACAAAATACCTGTCTTAGAAAAAAAAATGTTATAAATTAGGGATGTCTAGAAAAAGGCATTCTCATGAATGCAGAAAAATAGCTTTAGTTCAAAGCATTTAATAGCAGCAAGTTAGAAAATCATAAGGATTTGGGAAAGAGTCAAAAACTTGCCACACAAACAGAGTCATCAGAAGTATTGGGGTCATTTGGCAAGCGAGACATAGCATGGGAAATCATCTGCAAAGAAATATTGAGTTTTCCTCAAATCAGGCATGGAAGGAACCTGGGAAAAGTAGCAGGGAAGTAGCCATGGGAAGGGCTTGATCAGTTCGAGCAATGGAATTCAGAATAAAATTAGGTACTTATCAAAGTGGTACCAGGTAAAGCAGGACCTCCAGGAAGGGATGAGTTATAAACAACCTGATGCATAGAGAATTTTATACTTAAGGCTAAACATTTATGATTTTATTTAGCATCAAAATGCTAAACATTTTGATTTTGGAAGGGGTTTTTGGCTCAGTTTAAAATAAATTAAGGTGCATTCTTGTTACGTAGCTATTCTAAAGGAAACATTCATCCTATTACTCATTTTTTACAGCAATTCCTACAATATGGAGTGCTGACTGGAAATCACACATCACAACTCCCTGCATATGCATTAGTGCTTCCTACCTAAAAAAACCCCACCAAACACAATGATTTTCCCTAAGATATAATCAGGTAATAATAGGATACTGGGATTGATGTTTCCTTTGGCTGGAAGACACATGAGATCCTGAGCAGTGGCTCTGCCCAGGGCAGAAGTTAATCCATCATATTCAGTAGAAAGTTCAAGTATTTTTAAGGCAGAGGATAAATGGGAGGATTACCTGAAATGGGAGCTGTGACTGATGGCTGTATAGGATAGGCCTGCTGAACAAATGGCTTGACGCTGCAATAAAGAGATACACAAAAATCACACACTGTGCCATCCGCAGCAAATTCCATCAGAGTCACACAGAATAGGAAAATAGGTGGCTGATGGCCTTTCCCCACAAACATATCTCTTCCTTGCAGAGCATATTTAACAGACAGCACAGAGGAAACAGAGAGGATGAGAATTACACCAGGGCTGGGCACTGCTGGGACTCCCAGAGGACACTGAACTATGGGGACCAAAAGGAGGGTGCCCATCCCGTTTTCAGCCTCAGTTTTGAGGTTTGGGATCCCTCATAACCATTTGAATGTGAGTTCACATCACTATAAAGGCTCTTTCTTTCCCTAAAACTATCACTGACTCCTTTTTGGAAAAATTTGCAAGTTCTTGCTTCCCTGATCTTCAGAGTGCACAAGCCACCCTTCACACTGCATAGAGAAACAAATTTGAATTTTCAGACTTACTCTTGCGAGGATCCAGGCTGCCCCGTTTGAATCATGCCTGGCCAAAACTGAAAGAGGAAAAACAAACAAACAGGCCCACAGTTGTTCTCTTTGTTGGAAGAACTTTGGGTATTTTTGAACAAGCATCATTCCTTTTGCAAACTCAAGTCAAAGCATTAATCCGTTCATTCCACCTTATTTTTCTACTGAACATTGTTAGGGAATACAGGGATTTTTTTGGGACTTACCCCAGGTGCCCCAGGAAATGTAGGACGGGGAATTCCTGGCAGGCCCAGCTTGTTGTGAATAGCAGTAGCTGAGACTATCTGAGCTGATGACATTGCTGCCATGTGCTGGAGTGCTTTGTCCTTTGCTGTCTGATCCTTTAATATGACAATTACACGGAGTCTTAAAACACTTGGCACGACAAATGACGTTAAATAACTGCAGCTACAAGCACATAACTAAAAACTTAAAAAGCCACACAGAAAATGCAAAAATAGCAAACCATGCAGGAAAAAAAAAAAAAAAAAAAAAAAAAAAAAACGAAAAAGAAAAAAAAAAAAAAAAAAATACAGCACGGAGGCTAACACTCAAACTACCTCAAGGCAAAACCTCCTCTCAGACATGCATGGTAGACCTGAATTCTCACAGTCTGCTCTGCCAACACACAGGAAGCTCTGCGAGAGCAAACTACTGCCCACTTGTTTATCTGGGCAAATTCTGATTTTAAATCAGGCTGGGCTAAACAGAGTGTGCTCCTGAGGCTCAGCTCTGCCTGAAGGATAGGGAGCACTGAGATTTGAGCTCTATCATTTCCATCTAAGAGAAGTCTGCCTTTTGTATTGCGCTGTAAAATGAGAACACAGAACTGCAGCTGACTTGCAAACAGGGACAGTTTTCTTCATGCTTAGAGACATTTTGGATTCAGTTTTACGACAAGCATTTTGAAAGTTAGGTCACAAACACGTAAATGACATCTTAAATTTTCAATTGTGGCATTTTACTGATTTACAGTGTTCCCACAGAAAGCTATCAGCCATAAAATTCCTGCTTTTTTCAAGCACACAGGAACGACTTTAGGAGAAGGCAGGTTGTTATTGGTGACTTGTATTAGAGCAGCACTTGGAGTTCCAGCCACTGCCATCAGGTATGGTCACAGGACAGAAAGGGAAGGCCTCTTAATGCAACAGAGTTAACCAGGGGGTGTCTTAGGTCAGGAAAAGTGAGTAAACAACAGCCTGTTACACGCTGGTAAAGCAGGGCTCCTCATCCAGAAGTACTGGATTAATAACCACCAATATTTAGGTGTGTCACTTAGAATGAAGGAACACAAACAGTATTAGGCAAGGATGTTTTGGGGTGTTTTGTTTTTTTTTTCTGGTTTTGTTTTACAAGCAAAGTAGCAAGCATGCTGGCAAGAGGTGCATGCTCTTATGTATGATATATGACTTTGCACATATGCTCCCTCCAAAGCTTGTATGTAGTAGTACTATAGGTCAGCAGTTTCTTCCTTTGAATAGCTCCTTTAGAAACAGCACAGGCTGAAAGTACAGGAAAAGCTAGCCAAAAAATTCTGCCAAGCACAGCTAAGGTACATAATACTTGGTTTAGTCAAAATACTTACCATGCTTGTTACCTGGATACAACAACAAACAGTTTATTAAAATGCTTGTGTAGAATAGCAGACTCTTAGCAAAATACGAACAAAATAGTAAGAGACAAAGGAAGAGCAGTTTGCTCAACATTAAATATCAGCTTTAAACAAATGCATTCTCTTCACCCAGGGTCTGATTCATTAAAAGGGGGGGAGAGAGGGGAAGATTAAAAAAAGAAGGAAAAAACCCAACCAAACAACAAAACCCTGGGGAGAAACAACCCGCAGCTCCCTGTGTGAAAGCTGTGGATACTGAAAGAGAGGGATTGTTGCTGACTGTGTTTCCCTGAGCTGTGCAAGGAGTCCCTGTGGGACACAGCCTGGAGAGCAGCAGGTGGATAAGGGCAGGATCTGCCCCAGCATCATCCCCTCTGCACCCTGCAGGGACAGCCCTGTGCTCACCTGTCTTGAGCAGCAGCTCTGACAGCCTGAGCTCACCTGTGCTCAGGGGACACAGCCCTCAGTGCAGGGACCAACTCAGTCCTGTCCCAAAACTTGCAGCTTTCCAATGGAACCACAACTAGTTCTCTGGTTAAGAGCTGGAGGTCAGCCCTGGCTCTCAGCCCTGCCTGCCCCAGCAGTGGGAGGGTGGGCACAGGAGGTTTGTGCATGGCATGTTTTCCTGGCTGCCTTTGGATGTCTGCAGACCACCAGGCTAAAGAGATGCTCAGCTGGGTGCTAAGAAGTGGCAGAATCCTGAGGTTCATGCAGCTCCTCAGACCCCTCTACACTCTTGCACAGCAAAAAGGACCCTCCATCATGCAAAGATGAAAGTGAGATGTCCTGAAGCAATATGGAGATCTAGCTCTACCAGATTTCTCTGTTCTACCCTTTTTTTTGTAAACAGGGCTGGCTTGGAAATGCCAAACCATGAAAGTCTCACATAGCCTGCTGAATCCTACCAAAAACCAACATTCAGGGCATCCATGTCCTGTGTGTAAAATAAATTATACGGGAGACATGTGCCTCGGGGTTCTAGTATCCTCCAAAACCATGTGAGTGCTGTTTTTGTGACTACCTTGTTATTTTCCAGATATGCTGGGGCACGACAGGCTCCTCTCCTGCACTGCCTCCTGCCTGCCACCAGCCATGCCTGTGCCACCACAGCAGGATGCAGCCTGTACCTCTGCCAAGAGGCCAAACTCTTCTGGATCCAGTATTAGATGGATCTAAACTAAAGGAAAATTTAAAAGTAAAAGCTTTGTCGGGGCTATTAAAGTCCATTCCTGGGAGTTGAGGTAGGTTATGACTACGAAAATTTTCACCTTGCCTTGCTTTATCCCCCTAAAGTCTCTGGCTAATTCCCTGCTAGTGTTAGTTAGCTCCAGGAGAAGCTGTATTTATTTCTGCCTTGTGAGGCACTGAAACCAACTAAAGTGCATTGCTTTCTGTAATGTTATTGCCATCCAAGGACTAGACTAGGAGCCTGGACAGTCAGCAACAGTTACAGCAGGCAAATCCCACCCTAACAGATGAGCTAAGAAAAAGTTTTGAAGATTTACATTTCCTTCAAAATATTCTGGGGAGCTCTTAGTCACCATTACAGAGAATCTGATGATCCTGAATTTTAGGGACAGTGACAGTGATTTTTGGAGGAAGAAAATGTTTTTTCTTTTGTGACATGAAATAGTATGTGCCTTCCTTCTTACCAATTGCTGTTTTTCACCCTAGAATGATCTGTGGTTTGTGGGACCATTCATCTCATCCTCTTTGACTGGTTACATTTTCAGGAGGATGGAGAGAAAAGGAAAAACCTTTAGAATGACAGCTCAGAAAGGCAATCCTTGCAACAGGGCTAGTTTTGAGGTTTTCAACAACTCCCACAGAGTTTCCCACTGGTGACAAATCTGACCTGGTACATCAGGCCCTGGAACACACTCCAATGGGAAGTTTCACCTTTTGTAGGCTTAGGAATCTTTGCACAGTGGAAAGATCAGCTTTTCTCAAAGCAACTTTACATTCAGACATGACAGAAATCAAATTCCAAGTCAGATACAGATACTTATGAGGTCCTGGCATTGGAAAAAAGCACCTTTAGCTACTGGTACTCTCGGAGAGCTGCAAGGTTGCCTGTGCTTGGATAATCAAGCAGACTTTGTGGTCTTCAAAAATAAATAGCCACATTTGAAAGCTGTTTATTTAGATTGCAATATCAGCTTGTCTGCCACTTAAAAACAAGTGTATGTTGGGGTGTTTCATGCTGTAATAGAGAGCACTCATAGCCAGGGAGGAATGAGGCTCTCTACCTATCACTGCCAGGCAGCCGCTTCTGCCATGAAACCTGGTAACTGATTAATGACACACAATGGTATTACATCACAGTTTAGGCAGCAAGAGAAGTAATATATCCAATTAAAACGGCAGGGGTAATTTACACAGGCAGATTACAGTAATTACCCAGGTTGGAATTTGGCCAGGACAAATGGGTTAACACCCCTACTCTAAAACAGGAACGTTGTAGGATTTATAATGACTGCAAATAGTTAAGATTTTGATTTCCTATCTTGTCCAAGACAGAAAGGGTTTGGTATTGCTTTCACTTGTGCTGATTTGTAAAGCTGGAATAATTTCTTTTTGCTCCATGTGTTTTAAAATAAAAGTTTGGCCCAGCAAGCTACAAGTCCCGTGCTTTGATTCAGCTTGGGGGGACAGTATCTCCTACTGGATCATTAAATCCTGCTGAAGCTTAAGGTATTCCTTGGATAGGTCCCCTCTGGCCCTGACCTTCTTTGACCCTACTTAATTGATGAGCTCAGATGGGATTGCTGCTGCCCAGGAATGACACTGGAGCACTGAGCAACCCTGCCTTGCCCTCCACTTATAAAAGTTTTCTTCACTGTGGTACAGAATATTGTAATGAATGTTACCAGGGTGAATTTAGAGTGCAGTCAGTGGAAAACTGGTCTAGTTTCACTTCATCCCTAAAATATCATCTCTGTAGGGGAGATCAAGATGTGTTTTAGCTGACTGCTTCTGGCTGCAGTTGCACATGCTTTGTTTTTGGAAGATGTAAGCTCTAAGCAAGAACACGACAACTTTTAATGAATCAGGCCCTTGAGGTTTGCTTTTCACAATTCATTTTGGAATGCAAAATACACAGCTAAATTAGATAATAATAATTTTCCAGTATCATTCAATTATAAATCTTAATATCTATAAAAGCCCTGCATGAAACAAGAGTTTTACATGACAAGCACAAAAGGATTTGTGCTTGGCTTTCTTTTAATCCAACATAAACAGAAGAATAATTCAATCAATCAGTTGAAACAACTTCTTAAGCAAAAAAATAAAAACTGTTATCCTAGAATGACAAATGGGGCTTTGAATATCATGTTATCTATGACTTTAGGAGTAAAAAAAAAAAATCTAAGACAGTATGAGGAAAAGTAAGCACAACAGAGCAGTATTAATACAAGAAGCCCTAAAAACCTGTACCAAAACTTAAAATGCAAAACTTTTCATGTAAGAGGAGAAAAAAAAAACATAAGAAACGACAATTTGTTCACAAAATGGATGTTACAGTAACACTAGCATAAAATAGCTTCCTAATAAGCAATTTTGCAGATGTTATTTCTGCTCAGATCTCATATTGATTCAAATAACCTTTACAATAATTAGCTGTAGCTCCAAAAAGATAAACAAATCATGACAATATACAATTGTTCTGGACAAAAGATAGAGAGCACTTCAGTGTTTCTAGCCCTGATCTCCAATTTGCTTATTATTAGAGAAGACAGGAGTAAATACAAAAGCTGGCTATTTCAGCCAGGCAATAGCTAATGCCAAGAAGAGAATGCGCATTCAAAGCTGTCCCAACTTGCTGCCTAATGAGTAGCAATTAATCCATCTTATTGTATTTCAGAATGCTGAAGACTCCATTCACATCAAAGGGAATTTTTCAAGGCTTTTATCATTGTTCATTTAAAAAAGTATAGTGCTATCTTTAGCATTTTATAATTGACAACAATATTTTCTTTTTATCCCTAAATGCGGAATGTAGAATAATAGATTTAAAAACATGTAATAGATGTGAACTGTAGGCATTTTAATGTGTAATTTTAATTTTTGCCTCTGTCTAATTAATCTTGCACTATTAAGAAAATCTGATCTGAAAGCCTAAGGTAGATGTACATCCTGCTGTGAACACCTTTGCTCTCTGTTTATGTACAGCTTCCAATCCATCTTTTGCCCTGAATGGACAGAGGTGACTTCAGCTCCCTGTCAGTGCAAATGTGGGAAATGCTGTGACCTGACACTGTGGACTGGTGTATTTGACACAGAAACACAACACTGGTGTGCAAAAACTCTGATTTGCCTCCTCCAGCCTCTGCTTGAGAGGAAATGCCACGAAGAGGAGCCACCTTTCAGATCTGTCTCCAAGGTCAACTTTCTCTCAGCCTCTCTTCCCCTTTTCACGAGATTAAATTTCTCTAACTTCAGGAAGATCCTAATGACCTCAGTATATTAAGATTCAAATCTCTAAAACAGGTGTATTTTTCTGCTTCAAAGGGAATTACGATGTATGACATCCCTGGAAGGGCTGGGGGGACATTCTTTACTGGTGGTTTTGAACGGCATTTATGGCTGAAACTTCACTTCCTTGCAGGCTAAGGATCCATCCATCCACAGCAACTGCAGGCACTTCTCATTGAAGAAAAGGGACTTTGCTGGACCAAGCAGACTTTATGGCATGCAGGTGAGATTTCTGTCTCTTGGGAAAGCTTCCAACACTGTGTGTGCAGATAGCTCTGAGATCTTTCCATCCTTGTAGATTTTTGCAGAAGATTAACCCAGGAAGAATTGCCCAAGTCCTCTCCTCTCCAAGAGCAGGTTTCAGACCAAGGCAGGACAGTAAGATCTCTTGGTACAAAACAAACTCAGCAGCTACTTGGGGGAAAAGGGTTATTTGCATAAACACTGTCAAACTAAGAGGACAGGAGTGGGGGCCAATGGGACAGACTGGATCAGACACATCTCAAAAGAAAGTTGACACCAGATGCCTATGGGATTTTTTTTTTTTTTTTTTTTTTTAAGTACTAACTGCTTCCTTGGATGCCACCACTCATAGATTTTACAAGTGGCAGCTCACTGTTAAAAGGGTGAGTTAGCCTGGGTGGGAAGCATAGAATCATAGAATGGCTTGGGTTGGAAGGGACCTGAAAAATCATCTAGTTCCAAGACCACTGCTGGTGGGACTTTTTTAAAAGTCACCTCCTACTAGACAAGGCTGCTCTATCCAGTCTGGCCTTGAACACTGCCAGGGCTGAGGCACCCACAGCTTCTCTGGGCAACATTTTCCAGAGGCTCACCATCCTCACAGTAATTTTTTTTCTCCTAATATCTAATCTAAACCTATTCTCTTTCAGTTTGAAGCCATTCCTCCTTGTCCTGTCAGTATGTGCTAGTGTAAAAAGTCACAAGGGTAAAAAACTGTGCATTTAATCTTCTCCTTGGTCACCCCTTCAGCAGGGAATGCAGACAGCAGGGAATGCAGGACAGCAAGAGCCTGTCATCTTTCTGAGGATATTGATGGGGCTGTTCAGGCTGCTGCCAAAACTGGTCCCTGTTGAAACAGCAAGCACGCAGAGGTGCTGGAATATCTTCCTTTTGCACCAGTGATGTCCTTCTCAGGCAGCTTTTGAAGTCCTCTGCAAACTGCTTTGGAGGGGGAAGTTGGACTAAATGATCTCCAGAGGTTCCTTCCAGTCCTAACTAGTCCATGATTCCGGGTGATTCTGGGTGACAGTGAGCCATACACATGGTTCAACACAGAAATAGTCATTAGAGCGGGCAGTAGCACTAACAAAATGTCTGAAGAAGCCAAGTTCCATCTCAGGTTCAAAACCAGCAGCTTCTACCACCTCCAGGGAGCAATTGCAGCAGGCAAGAGCTCTCTTCTTCTTCTTAAGGTAGCTCCCTTCTGGCACCCTCTTACACCAAAGTTTCACCTTTTCTGTGTGGGGAGGAAGGCTGCCCCTTCTCCAGGAGGGACCAGTGCAAGGGGGAAGGTGTCATGCCACAAATCCTGGTTCTCTGAGACCAGCACTGGCCACGTTGAGAAGAAAGAGGTGGGGAGGGCCTGGCTCCTTCACCCTTCCTGGGCACTCCTGAGGCTGGAGGCTGTGCAGGACAAACTGGGGTGGTGTCAGGGCTCCTGAGGAGCTCATCCCACATGGCAGCTCAGGACACATCAGCCTGCAAGACTCACTGGAGGGAGGAGGGCTGGAGTGGCTTTGGTCAGCAAGGACAGGGGCCAGCAAAGCTCTGTCACCTGTGTGCATTCTGTCCCCACCACGGTGTCACAGAGAGGTGAAGAAAATGCCCCTGCAGAGTGTCGGGGCTGGAGCTGGGGGATCTTCCTGAGACCATCAGTTCCTAGCAGTGAAATGGCAGCTGCTCCACTTTCCACTCAGCACTGCGGGAGCTGCAGCCCATGGGCAGGTGGGAAAGGGCAACAAGGCATGAAGCCCTTACAAAATATTTTGTTGTCCAAACAGCTCTTCCCTTCTTCTGGCAACTCCTTAAAATCTCTATTTACTGCAAATATCATCTAGACTAGATGAAATATTCTTAAGGTTTGGCTGTCTCTTTGTTCTTTGGAAGTCTTCAATAAAAGTGCAGCAGGTGCAGTACTTAAAAATGTTTTTTAATGCTTTAAGTCTTCACATTTTAAGGTCTTTTGGGCATTCAGAAAGGGAAATATTTTAGAGCAGTAAATCCAATTATTGTGTTTGACTCCTAGGCCTGTATTTGGTACCTACATGGGCTTCCTGATTTTTGCAGCCCTGAGCTCTCACCAGTCCTCTAAAACTCTAGGAGCTGCTGGTGCTGAGCACCTCTGAAAGTAAGGTCACCTACTTACATACTTAATTTTAGGCATCAAGGCTTGACAATTTGAGCTTAAAATGCTACATATCTCTGTATTATTGCACCCTTGGTTAAAAAGCAGTACGTTTAAGTTGTCTTAGTTGTTCTTTACGAACCCCAACTGCTCAGCCAGTGCAGCTAAAAAGCCAGCCACCAACAGCCAGACAAGCTTGCCAGCATGCTGCCCATGAAAAACCCAGTGCTTCTGTCAGGGAGGCCTGTTACAAAGGCCTGTTATTTAAAAAAAAAAAAGACCTGTTATTCCTACACTGCAGTTCCAGGATGGGGGTGAGCATCTGTAGTGCTCACCACTCAGGACCAGGAAAGCACTGCCCAAAATGTTTTGCTTTCCAGCTGGAAAAAAACAAAACAAAACGTGATTTGTTCTCATATCTGGGGAAAAAAAAAAAAAAAAGAATCCACTCACATTAAAAGGAGGGAGAAAAAAAAAAAGTTCCTTCACTTTTTATTAAAAAAGAAATCGACAGGAAAAACTGCAAAACTCCCTCTTCCACTTTTAAATGGTGTGGGGAAAATACCCAAAAAAAATCTCAATATTTCTGCTGGAAAACTTGAAAAACAAGCAATCCAAGAAACCCCTATTCAGCATTTCCAGGAGGTTCTTTTCAGCCTTAGAATATATTTTATGGAAGGCAGAGAAAATGGGGACATGTACAATTCATCATGTCAGATTAAGCAAACATACTTAATATTCCCTGAACAGGGCTCTGACTGAGGCTTTCCAAAGATTAAATGTCAATAATTTACTTTAAAAAAAATTAAATTTCAGGGAATCTTGTAAATAGTGCGTCACTTGAGGTGATACTAGTTTGTAGTCTAGAAACACCATAGAGCAATCTTGATAAGCTGTGCTCTCTGGCACTTGGAATAAATTATCTGGTATAAGTAATCTTGGTATCAGTTCAGAAGCACAGACAAAAAACATTTGGGAATAGAAAACAATTACCATGATTACTCCTCTGGGAAAAAAAAAAAAAAAAAAAAAAAAAAAAAAAAAAAAAAAAAAAAAAAAAAAAAAAAAAAAAAAGAAAATATAAAAAGCATCTACACAACTATGCAAAACCCCTGTCTACTTAAATGCACTGCTAGGACTCAACTGTTAAAAAGTAAAAGAAAAAATGGACTAATGGGTTAAAAATGAGGTTTAGGTGCTGAGCTGTTACAAAGAGGAGTTCACTTGGCATTTAGACAGTGTTAAAACGATGTTTTTAATGTGGACGCTAGTGCAGGACCCGGGGATTAAACACAAAGAGACGCAGACAGCTCCCACATGCAGGAAAAGGAGGTTACAGGCACAGCAGCCCCAGCGCTCGCCCATCACCGCGGGGAGGAGGAAGGGACAGGCATAGCAACCACAAGCCCAAAAGCAGAAAAGCGCATACCTTCAGCTTGGAATGAAAATCACGAGATTTCCTTCTGGCAAGAACCTGAATGTGACTAGACACCTGCAGGGTAGGGGAAGGGAGGAAACAAAGGAAAAGCCTGTAACCATGGAGATGAAAAGCCCCCTACAACTGGGCAAGCCAAACGTACCTTAATGGCGGCTTGAATTTCTCGAACTTTCTTTCTTGCTAAGACCTGTATGTGACTAGACACCTACATTGTTCAGGTTTATAGGGGAAAAAAAAAACAACAAACAAAAGAAAAACAAAAAGCAAATCAAATTTTAAATGTCTATTTTTTTCTTANTTAAAAAAAAAAAAAAGAAAAAAAAAATTTTCTGAGGGGAGGAAGTTATTTGCATCTTCAGTAAGCTCTGCTGTTAAAGATACCACATTCCCAGCCAGATACCAAGCTCTTAGCACCAAGGCTTAACAATAGAGGTCAAGTCACTGCAGTGACTTGATTAAAGAAATAAAAAAAAGGAGAAAGGAAAAAAAAGTATAACCCACCAGGTTGCGCATCCAGCTACAAGAGAGAAGACACAGCTCACAGCTGGACGCAGCCCACGTGCTTTGGTACTTCTCCCATCCATGCCCAAGCCTTGAGCTCTCATGTGGGGAGCCCAAAGGATTTCCACCCCATCTGCTGGGGATGCAGATGCCCACTCAGACCATTTGCCACTAGGCTTGAGACGTAACTTGGCACCAAGAAATTTTATCCATTATTTATTGCGCTCTGCAGCTCCAGTGAAGAGATTCAGGCTGCATTTTGAGTCCACTGAAATGCTTTAAATTCTGGCACAAACGATAAAATACTGGCACAACAAAGGTCCCTGAACTCCTGCTGGTTTCCTTAGTAATCTCAGCATCAAGTCTGCCCACAAAACATTTGTGTAACTGGGGACCAGCAACTTGACATCAGCTTGAGTGATGCCCAGGTCTAGCCCCCAGTGGTTTTGCTCAGAAATTTGCGCAAACCCAGTCCTACACTACACCAGTTACTGGTCAGATGTTGCTGCCTGTGCTGTGAAAGGTCTGGGCACAAATGCACATTCCTGTTTACCCAGGGAAAAACTGAAATCCATGCTGCTGCTGCTGAGGGTTTTAATGATGCTGCCCAGCATCACTTGGTGGCAGTCAGCATCCTTCAGCCTTCTGTGTGAAGGTTTAAAACCTAAAGTGATGGCAAAAACCACTAAAGGGAAATCTCTGAGTCTTGTTTGACCCAGGATATAACACATCAGGTGGTGCACATTTTTCCTACAGTAGTTACAATTCCTGTCTAGGAAAGAACAAAGCAAAAGAAAAGGAGAAACAATGATTTCCTCCTCTGTAAGACTACTTTGTGACAATAGTACCAAAAAGCCTTTATTTTAGTAGGGAAGCAAACCATGATGCATCAATGAGCACAGTCCCTGAAGGCCACCTTCGAGAAGCAGCTCAGGAACCAGTTTGCAGTAATTCAGAGTTATACTGCTGCTTACTGAGCGATTTTGCAAACACCTAGACTGAGTTTTCACACATTCATTTGCTTTGCTTTCAGTGGAATATTAGTGGTGTTAAATATACAAAAAGAACAATCGTAACATTTAATCGCTCAGTTAGAACTCCACAAATCAACTTTTGTAAGCACTCAATTTAAAGTGATTTATGCATCACTACAGAGGGATGTACAAGTATGGAGGCAGAGATTGCCACCCATCACAGCCCTCCTGCTTTCTTGGTACATGCTGGCCAAGGATCTAACCCCAAGCTCTGCATTTTGACTCCCGAGGAAACTTTATGATCCCAGCATAACTTCCAACTCCTGGAGCTCCCCTGGGCAAGGCAGGACAGAACTGGGGACTCTGCCTTCAGTTTGTGACTTCTTTGCCAGTCTTTGGTTTGCTCCTTCTCCATGTTCTCCTCCTTTCTGATGCTTTTTCCATCCCTCGCACACATGCTTTCTTCCTGACTGCCAAGGGACACCACCCAGGGTAAAACAGCACCCAAAGTCCTTCAAATCCCAGCTTTGTGTGCAGCTTTGTTGAGCCAGTGCCACCTTTCTCTGCACTGCAGGACATGCACAGCATGCACATGGGCAAGCCTCTGCCTGCCCTTTGTCACACACGTGCAGGGCCAGGAGGGGAATCTCACACCTGGCGTTAAAGCAAGGGACTTCTGCCATTTGTGGAGTGTTTTTAAACAGTGCAGTAACCACTGCATAAACTACACACAAACTGTGCTTTCTGCAAGGCTGCTGATTGCTGTGAATGTAATGAATTAAAGGATTTAGTAATATGAGATGAATTAATGGTTATGTGGTAATCATCTGAAAAAAAACTTAAAGCAGCTTTGAAGTTTATTCAGACTCTTGCATGAATGAAAACCTACCATGGTCAAAGACCAGGAGCCTGAAGGCTCTTGGGGAAATTTTAAAATTAATTTTATGTCCTGTAACAACTACTGGCCATAAGCTGAGAGCACAACTATGATTAGTTCATTTTTATATATTTACTTCTCATATCCAAGAATCATAATCTCTATTATAACGCTAAATTCTCTTAACTTTTAAGAAGTGCCATTATTTGCCATCTCAAAATAATAATTATATTATAATATTATATAGACAAATTAGTCACAATGTTTTACAGTTTTGCTTCAACTTTTGAAATTTTTTTTTATGAAATGGGGGGGATGATATCTTCATTTACAGACAGATTAATAAAAAATGAATCTTCACACCACCACAACATAAACCCCGGAGTTTTAAATATTCTCTAAACAGTGTGTATTTAATCTGAATAGTGAAGTCAATACATCATCCCATCAGAGCTGAAGCACAGACAGCCACTGCAGCCAAAAATGCCAGGTTTTGTCATTCATTGACATGCATACTTCCCCACTGGGTTATTTTACCTGCTTCCTGGTCCGTGTCTTCCCTGTTCTAAGTTTGATGTATCTGGCTATCAATTCATTCCTACCTGAAACAAAGAAAAATTCATGGTAAGGGACAAGCAACATCACACCCAGGAACGCCATCAAAATACCACATTTGAACACGAGCTCCACACATATCAGGTTTGTTTTCCTGGCAAACAATTTGCCAGCATTTCTCATTGTTCACCAGTTTTTCTCTCCATCTCCTCTTCCATTTTTGCATGTGCCACAGGACCTGTGCAGAGCAGCACGAGTTCAGTGCCTGCCCACCAAAGTCCCGCAGCAGTTTACAGGCAGAGGGGCACCTCCTTGGCCAGCAGCAGTGCCCAGCATCATCTCTCACTGGAGAACCTCCCATCCTGGGGCTCACACAAGGTCTGGGCTCCTCTGGTTTTGCTTCCAGCTGCTCCAGGTGTTTGTTGTTCCCCTGGACTCCTCTGGGGAGGAGTGGCTGCTCTTGAGAAGGTAGTGTGCTACCTGAGCCTAAGTGCCAATCACCCAGATGTGCCAGCTTCTCTCCAAGCTTTAATTCTGCAAGGAGAACAGCAAAACCTGTCCTTCCTGCCAGAAAGGCTCCTCCAGAGATGGAAATCATTGTCCCAGGCCAGCAGGTTATCAATCAATCACACCCTTAACTCTGCTCGCAGTGCTGATGTTCCTGTGGGAGCAGGGCCCATGAACACGGTGGTTTGTTATTCACAGCTCTGTTTCTCTTGGAAATGTGAAATACTTCCAAGTCTCTAAAATGGCTATTTGACTCTTCTTCAGTCACACACTATGCTACCTAATGCAAACTAACATTTTCTAACCAAATAATTTCCTTCCTAAATATTGCTGACACGGAAGATAACACAAGTTTTATGTGGTGTCCTGTTTATTTTCACTTCAAATTATGTTTCTTCTCTATGGGTTGTAATAACTTAAATATACTTGTTCAACAAGTTCTAAGTTACAGAGCTATTTGCATTCAGCACCGGGAAAAAGTAGCCCGTGTGTAGAAAATGAGAAAACTGATTTAGCAGTGAGCTGAAAATGGGGAGGTTAAGAAAATAGCTTGTCACCCACCAAGCTATTTTGAAGTGGATGAGTACATAGCCAGGGAATGCAGAAAATTATTTTATCAGCCAGAGCTTCAAACCCTTACAGCTTTAATATTGTGGGGGAGAGACGGGAAAGTTTTGAAGTAGCCTGCATATGTTTGAAGTGCAATTTGTTGACTCAAAGACAGAACACATTTAGTCAAACTAGACTTTTTCTTCAGTCTCCCCTGTGAGCCTTATTTTGTATCAAATGCCTCATGGTTCCTGTCTCATGTTTGCTGAATGGGTACCAAAACATGAAATATTAACGTGCTTCAGAGCAGAGCTGCTTTTTTGTTTTGGTCTGGACTGTGTGCCACGTTTCCCTGGTTTGTAACTCTCTAGCAGGTCTCTTCAGGACAAACTTCAAGAGGTAAATTTTGCGTGAGCAAACAGTTACACAAACCAGCCACATTTCTGCACACAAATGAGGGATTTCCGCATGCAAACGGAGGAGCAGGTAGTTACTCATTTCATGCAAAGGCTGAACACGAGTTCTGCAGCCTGTTGAGCTCACAAAATACTTGCCATTTGAAGTGAACAACTTTGTGGTTTTTGGGGTGAAACCAGGGAATGTTCCACCCCTGTATCCCCCTGGTCTTGTGTCCTTTCTCATATCCCAAACAGAAGCCTGCAAGGGCAGCCCTCTGCGGCCTGGTGAGATGCAGAGATCACCACATTCCTGCAATCACCAGTGTGATAGGTGGTATGGACATTTTCCTATTTCTAAATGCACATTTTGATTTAACTGGGGAATGCCTCCCTCCAGAAAGTACCTGCTTTGCACACGTTTAAGTATGTGCACACATGAATATCCAGAATGGGTTTTTTTGCTGCAACAATATTGTTAGGTTGTTCTGACCAGCAGCTGGTGACTGTGCAAGGTCAGTGATGCTACAAGGTGATGTAAAGGATGTGATGCCATCTCTTGTCCTGCTGTCTGTGCTGCAGAGGTTTCAAATACCTGGGCATAGCACAGGTCACTCCAGCCACCCCTTGCCCATTAAGGCATCCTTATGCAGCCCCAGGCCACAACAGAGGTTCCACAGTTCTCCTCCCAGACAAGACAGCTAAAAAGCTATTTTAAAGGAAAGCTCAGGTTCCCAGGCAGCCATTTGACAGGAAAAGCATCTTTATTAAAACACCAAGCACTGAAAGTCTAGACTGTATGGTTGAGTGCTGTCTCTGGTTGAGCCCCAGTCCACCCATTAAATACTCTGGCTTCACTCACAGGGGGTTTCTGTAGCCATACCCAGCTGGCCAGGGCTATGACTAACAAGATTGCAGTTCTGGCAAGTGACTGCTTCCCTTAAGCTGAAGGCTACCCAGAGCCTAACTCCAGAACAACAGGGTGGAATAATTTGCCTTAACTTGCAGGGAGGAGGAACTCCACAAAGAACCATAAAAAGTGGCTGAGGTAAAAGCCTTAGACATGCTTTCCTTACCATCATGTTTTCAACACAGAAAAGACACACGCATCAGGTTTACCCAGAGCAGGAGATACTGAAGGCTCACTAAATACCTTCCTGGCCACAGCAATCTGAAAAGACATAAATTCTTTCTTGGGCTACCAAAAGCCATAAACACAAACAGAAGCACTGCCTGACATAAACAAGATAGATACCTCCAACTAAAAGTTTACAGCTTTAATGTTATCTAACAAACACTGGTGCTCCTCTTTACCAGCTCTGACAGATAGGGACAGAAATTATCTTATCTCCAGATCAACTGAAGTCCAAAGAGGCTTTTAAAGAAAGGAAAGCTTAATAATACTAAAAACACCCTTTTCTGTTCATGGGAATGAGAAGAGACTGAAACAAAAGGAGGCTCATGGAACTTTACCTGGCCATTAGAAACCTTAGGGTGAAAAATGCTCATTAATAAATAGATCTGTTTTCTCTAGAAGAGCTCAGCTGTGGAAATACTTTCCATACACACCCTTCCTCTGTCTCCTTGTCATATATATCTGGGAAATTGCCTGGCAGAAGAGAAGAGGTCAGATTTATGAACTGTACATTTTCAGCTCTTTTTTCCTGTCATTTGCTGTGACAGTCTACTTTGAATGTTTTGGTTCACATATCAAAGAGAGGCATGTGGAGGTGCCTGGTTAGATAAAACATCTTCACAGCGCAGGAATCTTTTCCAAGGATCTTGCAAAGATCAGGAGAGGACCACAACAAATATTTTACATAGGGTGCTTCTTTCCCCATTAATTCAGGCTTTATCTGTCATGCCCGTCTGTGTTGTCAGTGCAATGCAAACTATAATTTTCCCTGAACTGATGCTGAGGAAGAGGCACTTTGTGCAAAGGAACATATTTTTCCAATCACAGCATGGGGTAAAAAGCGAGTTCAGCTAGAAAACAGTGCAGATGCTAAAAGCCTGCGAGGCTTTGTGGACAGCCAAAGCTCTCAAAGTTCTACTGTGGCCCCTCCAAGGGCACAGCCGAGTCCCCAGAGCAAACTCCAGCCAAGCCTTGGCACAGAGGCTCCCTCCACCTTCCCAATCCACTGCCCCATCCCTAAGCACCATCACCCTCAACAGGGGAGCGTGTGGTGATCCTGGACACCTCTCGGGCAGCAGGGAGCTGCCACTTCTGTTCCCCTGGCTCCAAACAAGTGGGAGCAGCTGCAAAGTGGGGCAGCTCCCACCTCCTCAGCCTGGGGCAGGCAGTTGTTGCTCTAACAGAGGGCCCTTGTGCAGGGAGCCCTTTGCAAGAACAGCCTAAAGCAGCCAAGCATCAGCCCCCACAAAGGTCTGTGTGAGGCTCCCAGCTTCGCCCTTGATGCTAAGGGTGTGTTTATCCCCAGTTAACCAGCACGGCCCTCAAAAGTGAAAATCCACCCCTGACTGAGGAAGGTGTAAATGGCAACCCCTTCACGGGCCAGGAACGGCACCAGCACCTCTGCAGGGGAGCCACCAGAGCACCACAGGCAGCTCTACCAGCACCTGTGGACATGCTCTTGGCCACACCGTGTCCCTTTCCTGTGTCCTGGCCATGGGCATCAGTGCTCAAAGCCAGGCAGCAGGGCAGGGAGCTGGTGCATCACATCTCTGAGCAGCCGTGAGGCCAGCGGCTGTCTTTATTTAGAACATTAACGACACAAATTAAACCTCTGCCCTCCCAGCTCCCAGTCATAGGCACTATCCAAATGGGATAAAAATAGGCCAATGTGGGAAATAAAGTCAGATAGCAGCTTGAAAATGAACAGAAGTTTTCATACTCAGCCACATAATGCGAGTAACAACCGAATAGAAAATCCTATTTTTTTCAGATAATGAAACAATATGAATCTCTTCAAATTCTACAAGACTGTAGCTCAGAACAGGCATTTCCCATCCTGACTGAGAAGTCTGGGGACAGACCTGCACGATTCCATCTCCTTCTCACAGGAGAAGGAGATGGAATTCTCCAAATCCTTCTCACAGCCATCTTTACACCGTAACAAAGGTTTGTTCAGCCGGTTTTGGCAAACTTCACTTCTGCTTGGCCTGGTGAAAGCACAGTGCTGCCCATGTGCCTGGGGGCCAAAACTGGAGAGCTGGTGGGACTTTTGCTCCATGAGGAAGCAGCTGTGAGTGCCGTCCTGGGACAGTCCCCATTAGCAGCACCCAGCTCTTTGTCTGGCTCCTGAGCACAAGCTGGATGCAGATCCCAGCCCAGGCACGGACACCATCAGTGGGGATGCGATGCTTTGAACCCTTTCCTCATCAGAAAGTGGGCACGGGGCCCTTGGGCAGCAGAGCTCGCAGCCTGTGGGGGAAAAGCTGCTCCTCATGGTGCTCAGCCCCAGCACTTTTCTGCTCTGTTTTGCTGGCAGAATATCCGGCTTTGGGAGATCTCGCCTCAAATTCGGCAGCGGCGCTTTCCAAAGGCGCCTTATAGCTAAACCGGCTAACAAAAAGCCTCTTGTAGATAAAAGAGTTCTGCGAGTCAACAACTGGCTGAGCAGTTTAAACCCCTG